TTTTAAGAAATTTAAAAATTCAAAACTTGAAAAGTTATCAAATTAAAACATCAAACAGAGGAACACAATTCATTTTTCTCTTCAGGTATAATATCCATTCGTGAAAAGTAGGAGTGTTTTCTTTGTGTTATTGGAAAGTAAGTTGGATCAAGTAAGTAATAAGTAATTTAAATTCTGAAAATAAGGTACCATCACTAACACTCGCCTAGTTATAAGGTATTAATAGATTGATTTCTCTAATTTTGAAAATGGCCAGTTTTTTTTTTATGTGAATGTAAATTTTATCAAAATATCTACATAAACACTTTTTTTTTTGAAAAAAATTAAAAGAATAAAATTTTGGTAATAATGCAATGTAATATCTTTTGCTACTTTCCTCGATATAGTCGGTAGTAAGGGAATAAATGGTAAGTTCTTACATATTTTATTCACGTAAAAAATCGACCTCGAGATTCTTTCACACTTATACGTTTCCAGATTTCTAGATAACGAAAATCATATTTTCTGAAATATTTTCTCATAGGTATTTTCGAAACGACTTCTTTTAGAAGAATACCTACCTAGTTCAAATTTATGAAAATTCTCTAGGTTCATCTGCTCTACAAGATTGGAACCTGAAATTTTGATATTTGTCGAAAAAAGGGTGCGGGATGATTTGCCGACGCAAGTCATGATGAGTAAAGGTACCTAAACTTTTTCAATTTTTTTTTTTATTCACAGAAAACATCCATATCTATAACTCCTGTGGAGCAGTTGATTTTATTGCAATAGTCCAATTTGTTTTTCATGAATACAGAAGCAAAAGGAACACTTTCTGTTTTATGAATATCTACTTAATTTCAAGACAGAAAAGTTTCGAATTTCGAAAAGATTCAATTTTGTTCCAACTTCAAATTCGCAATACCTAGGTAAGTAAGCTGCATACTTATCAACTCTTTTTATTTTTTTTAAAATTTTCTTGTTGGCTCTGTGGTGCTTCTTTTGGATTACCTAATTCAATTAAATTTCTTATTCAGTGAAATTAATAACCTATTCAAATTAAAATGCATAATGTATTACAATAATTATTATTAAATGAAAATAATTTAATTTGTGACAAAAATAGGTAGGTACATTATACATACTTACCTACCTAATCTCAAAAAAAGTTCTTTGAGTTATATGAAGCTATATATTGAGTTGAGTACTTTCTTAATACCTATAGATATTGCGCAATGAAATTTTATTCAAATTCCAAATTTTCTCTAAATATTTTTTTCCTGATATACAGCAGTATTAAAACAATGAGTATCCAATGTTTTCGAATTACCTATATAATTAAATACCGTCCCCTCTTTCAGTCAGAAAACATTTTGAAAAAGTGTTTTTGTTGATTTGATTCAAATAAGTTAGTGGCTCTTGGAAATATAGATCATCCAATTTTACTTAAAATATTTATTATATTATATACCTATTAATGACTAACTATAATCAGATGTGTTGAGTAAATTGGAGCAGTCGATTTTATTGCAATAGTCCAATTTGTGTTTCATAAATACAGAAGCAAAAGGAACACTTTCTGTTTTATGAATATCTACTTAATTTTAACACAGAAAAGTTTCGAATTTCGAAAAGATTCAATTTTGTTCGAACTTCAAATTCGCAATACCTAGGTAACTAGGCTGCATACTTATCAACCCTTTTTATTTTTTAAAAAATTTTCTTGTTGGCTCTGTGGTGCTTCTTTTGGATTACCTAATTCAATTAAAATTCTAATTCAGTGAAATTAATTACCTATTCAAATTAAAATGCATAATGCATAATAATAATTATTAAATGAAAATAATTTAATTTGTGACAAAAATAGGTAGGTACATACTCTCCTACCTAATCTCAAAAAAAAATTCTTTGAGTTATATATGAAGGTATATATTGAGTTGAGTACTTTCTCAATACCTAGATATTGCGCAATGAAATTTTATTTAAATTCCAAATTTTCTGTAAATATATTTTTTTCCTAATATAAAGCAGTATTGAAACAATGAGTAGGTATCCAATGTTTTCGAATTACCTATACAATTAAATACCGTCCCCTGTTTCAGTCGGAAAACATTTTGAAAATGTGTTTTTGTTGATTTGATTCAAATAAGTTAGTGGCTCTTGGAAACAGATTATCCAATTTTACTTAAAATATTTATTATATTATATACCTATTTATAACTAACTATAATCAGATGTGTTGAGTAAATTGGAGCAGTTGATTTTATTTCAATAGTCCAATATGTTTTTCATGAATACAGAAGCAAAATAGGAACACTTTCTGCTTTATGAATATCTACTTAATTTTGAGACAAAATTTTCGAATTTCGAAGAGTTTCAATTTTGTTCGAATTTCAAATTCGCAATACCTAGGTAAGTAGGCTGCATACTTATCAACTCTTTTTATTTTTTTAAAATTTTTCTTGTTGGCTCTGTGTTTCTTCTTTTGGATTACCTAATTCAATTAAATTTCTAATTCAGTGTAATTAATAACCTATTTATATTGAAATGCATAATGCATTATAATAATTATTAAATGAAAATAATTTAATTTGTGACAAAAATAGGTAGGTACATACTCTCCTACTTAATCTCAAATAAAAATTATTTGAGTTACCTATATGAAGGTATACTTATATTGAGTTGAGTACTCTCTTTAATACCTAATAGATATTGCGCAATGAAATTTTATTCAAACTCCAAATTTTCTCTAAATATATTTTTTCCTAATATAAAGCAGAGGGTATTGAAACAATGAGTATCCAATGTTTTCGAATTACCTATATAATTAAATACCGACCCCTCTTTCAGTCAGAAAACATTTTGAAAATGTGTTTTTGTTGATTTGATTCAAATAAGTTAGTGGCTCTTGGAAATATTGATTATCCAATTTTACTTAAAATATTTATTATATTATATACCGATTTATAACTAACTATAATCAGATGTGTTGAGTAAATTGGAGCAGTTGATTTTATTTCAATAGTCCAATTTGTTTTTCATGAATACAGAAGCAAAAGGAACACTTTCTGTTTTATGAATATCTACTTAATTTCAAGACAGAAAATTTTCGAAAAGTTTCAATTTTGTTCGAACTTCAAATTCGCAATACCTAGGTAACTAGGCTGCATACTTATCAACTCTTTTTATTTTTTTAAAATTTTTCTTGTTGGCTCTGTGGTTCTTTTTTTGGATTACCTAATTCAATTAAATTTCTAATTCAGTGTAATTAATAACCTATTCATATTGAAATGCATAATGCATAATGCATTATAATAATTATTAAATGAAAATAATCTAATTTGTGACAAAAATAGGTAGGTATATACTCTCCTACCTAATCTCAAAAAAAAATTCTTTTAGTTATATATGAAGGTATATATTGAGTTGAGTACTTTCTCAATACCTAGATATTGCGCAATGAAATTTTATTCAAATTCCAAATTTTCTCTAAATATATTTTTTTCCTAATATAAAGCAGTATTGAAACAATGAATATCCAATGTTTTCGGATTACCTATATAATTGAATACCGTCCCCTGTTTCAGTCAGAAAACATTTTGAAAATGTGTTTTTGTTGATTTGATTCAAATAAGTTAGTGGCTCTTGGAAATATAGATTATCCAATTTTACTTAAAATATTTATTATATTATACCTATACCTATCTATAACTAACTATAATCAAATGTGTTGAGTAAATTGGAGCAGTTAATTTTTCTTGTTAACTCTGTGGTGCTTCTTTTGGATTACCTAATTCAATTAAATTTTTAATTCAGTGAAATAAATTACCTATTCAAATTGAAATGCATAATGCATTATAATAATTATTAAATGAATATAATTGAATTTGTGACAAAAATAGGAAGGTTCATACTCTCCTACCTAATTTAAAAAAAAAATCTTTGAGTTATATGAAGGTATATATTGAATTGAGTACTTTCTTAATAGGTACCTAGATATTGCGCAATGAAATTTTATTCAAATTCCAAATTTTCTCTAAATATATTTTTTCCTAATATAAAGCAGTATTGAAACAATGGTATCCAATGTTTTCGAATTACCTATATAATTAAATACCGTCCCCTCTATAATCAGATGTGTTGAGTAAATTGGAGCAGTTGATTTTATTGCAATAGTCCAATTTGTTTTTCATGAATATATACTTAATTTTAAGACAGAAAATTTCCGAATTTTGAAAAGTTTCAATTTCGTTCGAACTTCAAATTCACAATACCTAGGTAAGTAGGCTGCACACCTTATCAACTCTTTTTATTTTTTTAAAATTTTTCTTGTTGGCTCTGTGGTGCTTCTTTTAGATTACCTAATTCAATTAAATTTCTAACTCAGTGAAATTAATTACCTATTCAAATTAAAATGCATAATGCATGATAATAATTATGAAGTGAAAATAATTTAATTTGTGACAAAAATAGGTAAGTAGGTAGATACATACTTGCCTCCCTAGTCTCAAAAAAAATTCTTGGAGTCATATGAAGGTATAGTATATTGAGTTGAGTATACTTTCTTGATTTCACCTAGATATTGCTCAATGAAATCCTGAATTTTCTCCAAATATATTTTTTCCTAATATGAAGCAGTATTGAAACAATGAGTATCCAATGTTTTCCAATTACTTAGGTATATATAATTAAATACCGTCGCCTCTTTCCGTCAGAAAACATTTTGAAAATCTCTGTGTGGTTTTGGTTGATTTGATCCAAATAAGTTTGTGGCTCTTGAAAATATAGATTATCGAATTTCACTTAAAATATTAATTATAATATATACCTATTTTTAACTACCTATATCTATAATCAGATGTGTTGAGTAAATTATTTATCTATTATTATTATTTTTTTAATGATTTACCTAGTTTGTATTTACCTATGTAAGTTATTAATATAAAAAGTGCATGATAGAAAAACATTGTTATAGATTAAGGTAGAATTAATTTTCTGTACAATATACCTAAGCATCACAAGCGAATCTTAAAAGCGGTTGTATAAAGGTTTTGAAGTCGAAACGACGCGACGTTTTGGTTCAAATTTGCCACCTAAATTCAGTGAAATATCAATCCTGCCTGTAAACCTAACAACAAAGGTTTTGGTAAAGGATTTCTAAATATATTTGGCCAATATTTCGCTGTGTTTTTGGTAGACACGCCTATCGTACTCCCTTATTGGCCAACGGTACAAAACCACACTTCACCCTTACTGTGGGCGACGTAAAAACTAAAATCGCTTGGCGTTTTGTTGCGGGGTGAAGCTAGGAGAACGTCACAAACATCGCACTGAAACAGTCGGTTAAACATCGTGCCAGTGCGGTGGCAAGCCACAGTTCAAACCTCGTTTAGACTTCGTAGTGTTCGGACGTGCTTAGATTAGACCGCTCTTCTCTTAGTAGCCGCGTGCCTCCGCGAGTTCGAACTTTAGAAGTGTTCTGTGTTCGTAATTTGAATTTTTTTTTGTGTTTCTCTTAACATGGCAGTGCCGTTTAATATGCCAGAAGATCAAAATGAAGTGGAAGTTCTCCTAATGCAGCTTCAAACACTTCTGAACAAACTTCAAATTGCTGTTCGTAAAAATCAACAATTGACACAGCAACAGTTAAGTGTGCTTCCTGCATCATCAACTTCGTCGACACCCAGTAATAGTCGAGGTAAGTTTTTTTTTTTTTCAAATTCCCGCCAAAAAAATCTGTTGGTGAAACAAAAAATTATTTATCCCTCAAAATATTTTTAAAATAATGTAATGTTTTTGACGCAACTATTGAAAAATATCAATTTTGAGAAATTGAAAAATTTCAAAATTATACCTTTACTTACTTCTTTTACATGATGGGTAGGTACTTGTAATTTTCATCCCACAAATTATTTGGTTAAAATAAGCCAATACAAAAAATGGATGATCTGCCTAAAAATTTGAATCAAATAAAAATAATACAAATTAAAAAAATTCACCTAAGTAGGTAATTTCCAAATTATTTACATTTTTAAACTTTTTTGAGAAATCTCTATGACACACAAATTTCCTTCCTTATTAATGGATAACAAAAGGAAAATTTACCTAATAATAATTTTTCAAAAAAATGATGGAGATAGGTACTTATCCACCAATATATTTTTTTAAATATTTTAGAGCATGAATAATTGAGGCCTCAATAAAATGCACAAAGTTGATTTTAATTCTGACGAAAAATAATAATTAGAAGTGAAAATGCTCAAAAAATAACTACCTATTTTTTACATAATATTACTACCTACATAATATCATAATTTTTATACCTCTATGTCAAAACTGAAAATAAACTTATAAAATCGGGTTCATTATCCTTTGTTGAAAACAAATAATAACAATGATGATAATTCGAGGAAATCCGAATACATAATTTTTCAAGCAGGCTACAGGTTAAGAATAAATATTCCGTGTTGTCAAAATAAAGTCACTAGCCTTGAAAAAGATGGGATAACTTTGCCCCACAGGTCAGGTCCTAAAGGCGCGAAATCTAAAGTGTGTCGGATAAATTTTGCCCAAGTATCGCGCTTAGTGTCAATGATTCCCTGGCCTTGAAACCCCTGCTAAACATGTTGCATTGCCTCAGGATTTTGCTTTTGCCATGCATCATCCTTTACGGGAGATTTTTTTTATCGCTTTAAAAGCATTTATTTAATACTTTGTTCATTTTTAATTTGACTGTTGTTAATCAAAAAATTATTTTCAAATTCTTTTCCTTCTTAGGCTATAATCACGAAATTCGATTCTTTTAAAATGTATCATAGTTTCTGTTTGATTTATAGTGTCTGGATTTACTAGTTTTTTTGCTTAACTGAACTCTTTCAAAACTTGAAAATTATAAGAACTTTGCGATATTATTTTTATTATTTTTTAAAATTATTATTTTGTTTTTAGTTGCAGCACCCGATATATTAAAAAATATATATATTATTTGAATTTAGATTCGTGGTAGTAGCAACAATGTCCCTAGACCAGTAGATAATATTTACTAAGAAGATTTACTTGTTTTAATTTTTGTCCGACATAGGACGATAGAAAAATTATAACTCAATCACACATGCGATTTAAATAAAAAAATATATGACATAAGTAAAACATAAAATAATGAACAAATCGTTTTATTATTTACAGTTCGCCATTCTTCAAATAATGTCAACAACAATCAGCCCCAACCATCATCATCACATGCCACTCCTCCCCCTGATCTCTTGACAAGCTTATCTTGGCTAGCTGGTACTGCTGCTGGAACTTCAACTTCCGCTTCTCCTTTGACTGCGATTTCCATACGATCTCCTCGGCGTAGAACAATTTCCGAAACTTCCAACACCGATGAAACCAAGATCTCCATAACTGCCATTGTTAAACATGATTATTGTGCTCAAGATTTCAATAAGGTGAGTGTTGCCTGCATTTTATGTATAAGGTTTTAATTTTTTTTTTGTGGCTATTATAATTTATAATTTTATTAGCTGCTTTGATTTTGTCGTTTGATGTCTGAATATTTTTTTTTAGGCTCGGATATAAACGACAATCTATTTTTTGTTGTATTCAATTATTTTAATTATTGTTCCACATAAACGTAAAACCTATAATTTCGTAAAACATTTAAATCGTGGGAGTTACTCCTTTTTTCTTAAGCGTACTACAATTATTATGTCTTCCTTTTCAAGCTATAATTCGCTAAAAAATTACACTTCGAACAATTATCTTAAAGAAGAGTCATTTATTTATTCAAATAATGCATTCAACGAGGGAGGAAACTTCTAAATTTTATTAACAGATTTCAAGCATATCGCTAATATTATTTTTCCACTAACAATAAATAGAAATAATAACTCCGCTACAATAAAATAAACCAGAAAACTGGGAAGAAAAAGAACAAAAAAAAAAATCATTAGATAACATCATATTTACTAAACAAAGAAAACCATGAACGCGCCATATAAACAATGTATGTAATTATCTAAAAAACGGTAGCCAAGGTTAAAAATGCATATAGCAAGCAATTATAACAAAATATATACGCAGTTGAATAAGAAGTAAATAGGTACGTCGATATCATTTTGATTTTGCAATTTTCCTTTCCTATAAGAATATGTGTAAGATTATGTCGCATAGATATCTACTTATAAATGAAAAGTAGATAACCACATATCAAGATTTTTCCAAAGATATAATTTTTTTAAATAATTTAAAACTTGATTTAAAATAATAGTTTATCACACACTAGTAATATCCTGGATTTCAATAATTTAAAAGCTGCTTGCAATGAAACCATATAAAAAAAAACCTCAGAATTTGGCAAATATCTAGCGATGACAATGGTGAAATTACCAAATCGTTCATCATATTTAATCTCAGCTAATTATTCCTAATTAAATGCCATAATATTAATTTTATTATTAACTGCTTTTTTTCAGGGATTTATCCATACATATTTTTTTTGTTCCTGAGATACTCACTTCCAGTATGCAACGACCTATATTATTTTAAAGCAACTCTCTTCTGTCTTAATTAATATTCATTTAATCTAATGTTACAATAATCTTGCTACTTTTAATACTAAATTTGTGATTATTTTTCTTTTTTATTTACCATTCTGATGAACTACCTATATATTACTAAAAGAACGTAAATTATAGGTAGTTATATATTATTAATGAGCAAGGCCTATAAACTAGCAAAAGGTACGGGAGGGCAACATCAGCCGAGACCTTCTGGGGAATTATTTTTTTTAATAACTGGCATAAGTTATGGCTGGTTAACGAAAACCAGCAATTTATACTAAAAAAATTAAACTAGTTTCATGAGTAACCGTTTTGTCAGGAAACTTATATACTTACCTACTCATTTATATCTGATGCCTTTGTGGATCAGTAGAGGCATTGTATAAGAAGAACTCTTCTTATACAATGGTAGAGGCCACAAACCAGATACCAATTAATGTATAAGATTTTTTGTTTTCTTGTTACTAGACTTTGTTTGTTCCAAATCAAGTAGGTTTTCAAATTTAAAAATGTTTTTATTTCTTCCAGATTGATTGTGTGGATAGTGAAATATCCAGAGAAATACCAACTGACGGACTTCTATCCAAAATAATGCCTGCATCAGTTTCCTCCTGTTCTCTAATGACTGCGATGATTTGCTTTGTCGGCTGGCACATATTTCGGGCACGGTAAACCTCGATGAACTTTCAGAGGATACTTGCACAAATTCACCCAAAGCTAAAGTGATTGAAAAAGTATAGATAAGGTTTTTTTTTGCATCATATATATTATGTTTTCGCTTTATGTTGTTTTTCATATTATACTTTCGGTGTGTTTTTATTTCCATTTATATAGTATTCTATTCATAAATATATAACTGAGTGTTAGGTTAACTTTAGGGACTTATATTTAAATAAATATTTTCCAAGCAAATAAGAAAATCTTGTGATTGGGTGTGGTGACATCTGCCTATAATATCCACACAATCGTTGTTATGTAATATGTAAAAATTCAGATTTTATATTTCTTGGATTATGTTTTATGGTGAGCTATAATGTTATACGCAGGTCATTTGTGAATTTAGGGCAGTTTGCACAATAATCACTATCAATACTTACAAATTTGCGAGTATAAGTACCAACAGATTTTGAGATATTTGTTGAATTGCAAGTTGTCCTAACCAAAAATACTGTGTTCCAAAGAAAGGAAATTAAATCAAAGTGTCTGATCTCATGCAGTTAGATCCAACTAAATAAAATGGGTCTACACTCAGGAATTTTTATATTTGTATTTAGGGGAAATTTTTGTTTTGTTCTTAAATACCTACCTACTTTGTATTACGAGAAACATCAAATCGACTTTTGTGGATTCATCAATTCTTTTGGGTTATCCTTTCCAAGCATAAGTTCTACATTTTGGCTTTTATAATACACTATAAAAAAAATTGTACCGAAATAAAATGCAGTTCGTTCGCTCGTTTTGCTAAAGTAGGTAAATTAATTATTTGTATATAAAGGTGATTTTTTTTCAACAGCTGGATTCAAAAGAGGTAAAGATGTGATAATTTCGTAGTGCCAAAATGGCAATAAATTTGGAAGTATACAAAAATAATATTTAATATCCTTCCTTCAGTTGATATTTTATCAGCTTTTCATATTAGTTTTCTGAACACATTATTGACTTAAATATCATTTTGCTTATCAAACTTTTATTTCATAAATGCAGCATGTCTCAGGACACCATGTACTACCATTTCACCAATTTTTCAAACTTATCCAGAATATTTTAAATTTAGATTATTGGGCTCTCCACAATGCCTGATTCTATCTTGTCTGTATCTATGATTTACTATATTCTTGTACATTTTTGTTTGAGGCATTATTACAAGAAAACATCTAATCTTTACCGCTAATGAACCTGCCAAAAAAATTGTGTATAAAACGGTGTGGTAAAGGCATCTTTGCCACTCTTCGAAAGGTTTTCAAATGATCTCCGTAGTTAGAATAGAGGTGCGTGGACTGTCAATTATGACAGCTCGCACTACAGGATAATTTAAAAAATTAATTCTGCCAATGTGTTCAATATAAAAATTTGTCAATTTAATATTTTTCTAGCAAATTTCCATTGTTATTATAATCTAAATTTTTAGGATGGGTAATTTTTTTTTAAATTGTCCTGTTAGAAATGTAAATAGTAAGGTTGAGTCTGCATTAAAAGTATATGTTACGCAAAGGCTCGGCCTCATACAACGCGTGTTATATAGCTTTCTACTTTTTTACTAGCATTAAGTTCCATAGTATATAAAATGCAGATATTTTTTGAACTAAAGCAATTATATCTATTTTAAGGTTTATTTTTAATTTTAAAAGTGGCTTCTTCAAGGGAAGCTACCGCTAAAATTAGCTCTTCAAAGCACCTCTGTGATTACGCCTAAATGGCAATTAAATATGTAAAAGAGGCTTCCCTTCTTTTGGGACTTTTACATATTCTCCTGTTTTCGATGATCTCTCATGCATTTGTAACGGAATGTTTTTTTGTAGTTTTATTATCCCTAGTCAGTATAGTCGTTGTTTTTCTATAGCCATGGCTAGGTTTTACTTTATTTCTGTACGTCTAAGTTAAAAATTTTGAAATAGTTGTGTGTTATTTGTTTATTAATTTTATCATCATGCTATAATATAATATGTAATTATTTGCCGATTGCCATATGACTTGATTGCTATTATAAATACCTAATATAGATCCAATATATTGTAAACCATCAGATTTTTATTTTCTTGCTTCATGTTGTCCAGACAAAAAAAAAGTCAGTTTGAAATATTTTTTTAGTGGCCAATATAATTTGGCATCACAAAGTTGACATCGATTGCCAATGGACTAATAATAATAATTCTTCTCTACGTTTTTTAGTCATAATTGATTTTTTAAACATTGGGTCACAGCATATAAGTGATTGTTTTCAAAGTTAATTCTGGCCATCTTTACCTGACTTGGACCAACAAAAATGACCATTTGGGCCTGTGATAATAAAAGTCCAATTTGGTTTATTTATAAATTTCTGACTTAAAAAACCTTCCACAGTGCGGTCCAAACCAAAAAGTTTGCAACACTAGATAACATCATTATGGGAGTAGCAGAGATAACCTAAGGCATTGTTTCTACGTCATGTTCAAACATTTTGAAAGAGTGTGCTTCACAATTTCGTCACGTCTTAAGTGAGTTTTACATGCTGCAATAGCTCTTGCAGTTAGACAGTGCAAGTGCAAGTCATTGCAAGATTCTTTCTGCATGATTTCTTGCGGTTTGGTTTTACAGTGCTCAAAATCGTTCAATCCTATTTCTTTACCTTTGTTGAACCTGTGTATAATAAACTTAATTGTATAATTTTAAACATTTATATTGATGGGAACATTGATGACCAAAATTACCAAATTTTCCCCCAAAAATACTCTTGCATTTGCAGGAATAAGTTGATAGTGCGATAGGTCTTGCGACTTGCAATCAGCTGGGCTTCAATTGCGCATGCCTTTTGCAAGATATCTTGCGATTTGGGAACTCTTGCAGCATGTAAAACCACCTTTACCTATACCTACATTTGATCCTTTGCTCTGCTAATATTATATTTTTATATATGTGTTGTTAACTCTATAGATCACACTGTGTTTAATTGCATATATGAAAATGTGAATGTTTTATATATTCAATACATACATATATTTATATATTACCTACTATATTTTTGTGATTTACGAAAAAGATTCTTTATATTTTTTTGGTTCGCTGGCTCATATTAAATTGTAAATTTGTTTGTGAAAAAATGACCCCATGGTGGGCCATAATAAACACACATCTCTACCTATGTCTTTCACAGTATAACTTTTTCACTTTTATATAGTTGATTTGAAATAAATGTAAACATGCCGAAAGATATTTCCATTGTTTTATTCTATTTTGTTTTTATCCCTCTACCTATCTACCAGTACAATAATCAATCAATTTTTCAATCAATCAATTCTTTATTGTACAATAATGCAACAATTGAACTACATATTACTGCATCAGTAACAAAGACAAATCCTATAAATTATAAATAAAATTTGTGAGTTCTGTTAAATAAAAATACCTGTTCAATACCTAGAAGGAAAGTTGATAATGTGCTGAAAACTGATGTGACTTTGTGACATTGGAATCTTTGAGAGTTTCTTCAAAACATCAACAGAAAGTGAGTTCCAAAATCCAATCTATGAGCATCCCGATAAAAATTTTGACAGTTTTGACAGTTATCACGTGTTAAATTCATTCCAAATCAATTTGAACTCACGTGATAAAATATCTCTATGCTCGCGAATGGATATTGGAACGCAAGGAGAGTAGGTATTATGGATATTGGGCTCTCTCAAAAACGACGAAACTTTGCATAAGGGTAAATATGGTCAAACAGTTTCCAAATGACCCCAACTATCACTCATTGAAAACTTTCTATCGATGTACCAAACATCCTGTATAGCCCAAAAATTTGTACTTAGTTTTTGAGATATTGACAATTCAATAGTTTTCCATTATAAAAATGCTATACAGCTTTTAAGTTTTGTTATAAGTTAGCCATGGCGGCGATGCAAGGCAAAAAAAAGAATCAATCGAGCACTACCACTAAGATAGTATCGAAGACAGTCATTTTTCCAAATAATTTTTCTCTGATATAGTTCACCTGTCAGCAGTATTTCCTAGCATTTTGATGGATATTACTCTGGGGTTTTCACTTGAACTAGCGAAAGCCAGTCCCAGTGTGTTGACTAATAGTAGTTTTCCTGATTTTCCTTTGAAGGCCAAGTGGCACCAGAAGGAGAGGGAGACCTTAGTCGTACTCTGGAGCCACGCTTTAAATGTTTCCTGCTTCCGCAGCGGTATCATTCAATTTTCCCTTTCCAGTACCGGTTGCAGGCGAAGCTGAGACCCTCGTCCTCAAGTCACATTGCAGCTTTTCAATTTAGTTCTAGACATTATCCATTTCTTAACGGAATCATCCAACTATTTGACGAACAGTACCGACTTCCTGATTAACAGTCCCAACTTCCAGACGAACACTCCCATTTTTTCCATATACTTATCCCATTGTATTTTTTTATTTCATTATCTTGCCTTTCCAGGATTTTCTCGAGTCTTGACTATGAAAATGTTCCGAGGCCGGTCTTGTTCTTCCTGTCTTCGGGATCCCTCTTCGTGTTTTTCTTTCTGTCTTTGGTTTTCTTGTTGCCGCAAAAGTGCTGCAAGATGATCCTGGTTCTTTTTGTCTTCGATCTTCTGGTAGTTATAAAAGTGCTGTCCTAAGCCGGTTCTGTTCTCCTTGTCTCTCCTTTTGTCTTTGGTGGTTCTCTTCTTGTTTTTCTTTCTGTCTTCCACTTCTTGTTTTTCTTTCTGCCTTCCATCTTGTTGTTGTTGTTGTTGTGAAAGTGCTGTACGACGGTCCGGCTGTTCTTGTTTCTCTTGCTGTATTCGGTCATTCTCTTCTTGTTTCTCTTTCAGTCTTCGTGCTTCCTCTTCTTGTTTTTCTTTGTATCTTCGGCTTCCTATTCTAGTCTCTTGTCGTCCATATTTTTCATGAAGTCCGCCAACATTTGATTAGCTTGAACCATTTTGGCGATTTGCTGACGGTTATCCCTCAGATACCTTGAGTATTGATTTTAATTCAAAAGTTCCGAGGCAAAGTCAAATTTTCAAAAAAATTTATTTTACGTAGTTCTCAAAATTTTGATTTGAATTTGTTGTGGCTTTTTCGAGAGAGACTTTGAGTAAGTTTAAGACGTTTTCCCGTCTATTTGGAAATGTGATAGAGTGCAGCCCATCCCGTAAAAGGACAAGAAAACTCTTCCTAGCAACTATCATTCTCACTTATATCCGTACTTTCGATAGTAATGGAAAAGGCAGTCAACCTGAAACTGGTTAAATACCTCAAAGCCAATAAGCTCATCTTTGACAAACAGTTCGGGTTTCGTTCTGAAAGATCAACAGGGATCTGCTGGCGTAGGTCAATCATGTAACTCGACTATCGAAAAACATGGCGAATCAAAAATTCTAGTATTAGACATCTCCAAAGCTTTTGATCAGGTGTGGCGCATGGTTTTCCGAACGCTTTCCAAAAATAGGGTTTTTTGTTTCGTGCTAAAAGCTTCTTCACTTTTAAACAACTTCTATGTAAGGCTCAATTCAGACCATGTATGGGGAATACTGTTCCCACATCTAGAGCGATGATTCTAAGCATTCGTTGGCTCTATTAGATGCAGTATGAAGAAGAGCAAAAAAAGATCGATAATCCAACTCTCACCGATTCATTTCAATCTCTCGAACATAGACGCATGGTGGCCGTTATTCTATCGCTCTTACCATGGGAGATGTTCTGACGATCTGGCCAGCCTCGTTCCAGCTAGGAGAAGCAATTGAGGAACCACAAGAACCTCACAGGCATCCTATCCGTATGTGGTAAATTTGGCCATCCCATGGACTTCTAAATATAGGGCTTTTTTTTGGGGGGGCGTAGGTACTATAAATGTTGAAAGAACGAAACTCGAACTGCTTGTCAGAGATAAGCTTATTGGCTTTTAGGTATTTAACCAGTTTGAGGTTGACTACCTTTTCCATTACTATCCAAAGTACGGATATAAGGCAAGATAATAAAATAAAAATAATAATATGGGAGAACTACATGGAAAAAATGGAAGTGTTCATCAGGAAGTTGGGATTGTTAATCAGGAAGTCGGTACCTTTCGTCAAGCAATTGGATCGTTCCGCCAAGAAATGGATGATGTCCTCTTCATACTGCATCTAATAGAGCCAACGAATGTTTGGAAGCATCGGTCTAGATGTGGGAACAGTATTCCCATACATGGTCTGATTTGAGCCTTACAAAGAAGTTGTTCAAAAGTAAAGAAGTTTTTTTTGCAGGAAACAAAAAACCCTATTTTTGAAAAGCGTTCGAAAAACCATACGCCACACCTGATCAAAAGCTTTGGAGATGTCTAATACTACAATTCTCGATTCGCTATGTTTTTCGAGAGTCAAGTAACATGATTGACCTACGCCAGCTAATCCCTGTTGATTTTTCAGAACGAAACTCGAACTGCTTGTCACAGATAAGCTTCCCTAATAACACAAAGACATCCCAGGAATGTTCAAAGAATATTTAGTTGGGACAATCAGAATATTCCTGGAAGATTCTGTTCAGATCCTGGAACATTCCTGGAACATTCCAGGAGACGCTTTTGTCATCAAAATGGATGTTCTAGGAATGTTCTATTGAATCATTCCTGGAATATCTTCATTCATCCCACATCGTATATTCGGGAGTTGTGTGGGATATAGGAGGAACATGCACAGAACATCCCACAAATAGGGGAAAGTGGGTAACATTGAGACACGGGTACCAGTGAGACATTCAAAATATTAGCTATTTCTTCACTTTTTCGGTGTCGCCGCAATAAGACATTAATGATGTCTTAAGAGGAGTATCGGTTCTATTTTCAACCATCTTCCATTTTTAGTTTGGTCTGCAACGTGGAAGGGGGTACAACCTTCCGGTTATTTTTTTTTGTCAACGAACTTTTTCGGCGAAATTTGAAAAAACGGTGATTTTTTTCTATTACGCATAGTCTTTAAGTGATATAAGGGAACCTTTCTGCTGTTAATTGGATTTATTAAAACTAAATTAAAATCAAAGGGGGACTAAAAAATGGCATTTTATTTTTCAAAGTAACTTGGGTATGAATGAGACATGTTTAGATGGGTAACACTGAGACTATGTAGTTCTAGTAGAATTTCCAACTGAAACATTAAAGGAAAAAAATCTACCTATCACATAGGAAAATTGTTATCAGAAATCGATAGTGATAACAAAAATGATTATAAATTACCATTTTTAAGGAAAAGTGATAAAAAGGAGGGATTTTTGTTTCCCCAAATGTCCAGATTTTAGAGATATTGCCACTGTTTCTAAAACAGATATTAAGATGATTTTGCCAAAACTAGTGAAATACGGAAAGACTGAAATCGATCCTACCATGGCTTTGAAACTTTGTCTGGGTCATTTGCAGAAGTTTGTTTCAGTTTATTCAAGTAATTATTTCTCATTTGATATAGTGTCTCATTGAACCCCCTGCATGGGTATCAATGAGACAAATGTCATGATAACTGTTTATGTCAAATATTGTCTTTGTAAGTGACTATAGAATCAAAAACATAATAAATTTCTAACTTAGATTTATTCTTGAGTGTTACTGAAAAAAAAAATATCCATATTTTAAACGTTTATGGTAAAATATTTTCATTAGAAAAAAAAGTGTCTCAGTGTTACCCAGTTTCCCCTAAACTAGTGGGATATACTTTTGTTTTGGTTTATTAATTATAGGTATTACTCAAATTATAAATTGTAAATTGACATCCAACACTTGCATCAACAGTTTCCTAGAAAGTTCCATTTTCTGAAGAGTCTAATAATGCGTGCTGATACTTTGTTCAGGTAGAACGGTAGAAGGTATCTGATTAAAATCTTCATAGAATCTTAAGTAGTCAAGTAAAATGCCCTCTCAGTCATAGAAACGAGCGTAGAACTAAAGAAAGGATGCTGCCTGGGGTTATGATGCTCATCTTGTAGATCAGGTTCCGAATGACTTGATTGTTTGTTCCTTTGACAATAATTAGTTGCTCAACAACCTTTTTTTCCTGTAGGTTCCATATTCAGCACTGTAAGCACTCTAAAAACTTCCCAAATAAATTACTGAACAGGCTACACGTAGTACTTACCTAACATCAAAATGAAGAAGGTAACGAAACCTCGAAAATTAGAAGAGCCAGTGAAAAATTATGTGGGAAATTTATGGAAAAATCTACGAAAACCCATATAAAAACACGAGCAAACCAAGCACCGAACGTTTTATTGT